AGAAGCGGAGATAGCAAGAACGCCGGAATGAACCAAAAACCTACGGGGAATCGACGAATTTTGCCTCTCGGGGCTTGCTTTGGAGTGCTCTTGGAGTTTTTTGGGGGCGTCTTGGAAACGCTGTGGGCCGTCTGGAGGCTGTTGTGGCGTCTTGGACCGATCGTTTTCGGATTCGGGGCCCTAGTGGACCGTTGTGGGCCGCTATTGCTGCACTCTTGCCGCGTCTTGGCGCTTTTCTGGGCCCCGGGACCGCCCGGGGGGATTCGTATCTGGGTGATGACCCCCTCGGGACCCCCCCCAGGACTCCCAGGACTCCCAGGACTCCCCCCTTCCCCATCGGGGAAGGGATCAAAGGGAAGTGGCTTCCCTTTCGACTCAGCCACGATGTTGGCGCTTTTCTGGGCCCCAGGACGGCCCAGGGGGGATGCGTATCTGGGTGGCGACCCCCCCCGGGACTCCCAGGGAACGAAGTTGCTCAATTTCGCTTCGCCTCCGACTGAGCTACGACGTTGGCGCTTTTCTGGGCCCCGGGACCGCCCGGGGGGCATGCGTATCTAGGTGGCGACCTCCCCTGGGACCCCCCCCCGGGGCCCCCTCCCCCCCCCGGCGGGGAAGGGATCAAAGGGAAGGGGCTTCCCTTCGACTCAGATACGAAGTGAAGGTGCTCAATTTGGCTTTGGCTTCGACTCAGCTACGATGTTGCTCAATTTCGCTTTGGTTTTGCTTTGGGTGGCACGCTTGAGGGGAGAGCCCAGATGAAGGAGACGGGGAACAGACAAAGAGCGTCTTGCACACGCCGACAGGGTCTGCGGATTTCCCATCGGAATGAGGACTTCACGGCAGTCACCCCCTTCTCGCTCCACCTGCTTCCTTCGCTCCTCCTGCTTCTCTGCCTCCTGCTGGTGCGCGTCACTCTCCTGCTCCCTCCTTCCCCTCCATGCCCTCCTCCTCGCCCTTCATCTCCTTCCCTCGTTCCTGCTCTCCCTCGCGATTCCTCCCGTTTCTCTGTCATGTCCGCGGCACCCCAGCAGCGCCCACTCCTCCTCGCCGCCTCGTCCGTGCCCCCCCCCCCCCCGCTCGCGCCCCGCCCCGCCACAGGAGCTCATCTGCGGCATCTCGCTGCTCTGTTCGGGCTCGGAGGACCCCGGCGGGGCCGGGGGGTGTCCCTACGGGGAGGGGCGGGCTCGCGCGCCCGACCCCGCGCGAGGCGCCTCCCGCCCGGCGGAAGGGCGCCCTGCAGCTCTGCACGGGGGCGCTCTCGTGCTGTGGGGGTCGCGCGCAGGGTGTGGCGCATTCTCGGGGCCTTCGGCTGGCGATGACCCACAGGGTTTTGCTCGGTTCTCTCCCTCCTCGTCGTCCTCCTCCTCGTCGTCCTCCTCCTCCTCCTGGGGTTACGAAGCGTGTGAGGCATGCGCCGATATGGTACGCAGCCGCTGAGGCCTTCGGTGCAGCTCCCCGTGGGGCCACGAAGCGTGTGAGGCGTGCATGCGCCGAAAAGGTGTGGACCAGGTATGCGACGCAGCCGCTGGGTTCTTCGGTGGAGCTCCCTATGGGGCCACGAAGCGTGTGAGGGGCGCGCCGAAGTGGACATGCGGAGGGCAGATGCAGTGAGGGGGAGAGGAAGAAGGAAGGCAGGAAGGAAGGAAGGCAGGCAGGAAGGACGCGGGATTGTCTTTTTCCTAACGCGGACCCGACACCACAGGATGGTTGGGAAAACCAATCTCAGGGCCTCAGCTTGATCAGGGCGGTCGCACCATGGGGCGCCCTGCGCGTCCCTGCGGCGGCAGGCTCTGCGCTGTCGTGGCCTGTGCTTCCTGCAGCGCCGACTGTCTGGTCCCTCCGCCTCGGGATGGGCGCGCTCGGCCAGCCGCCGCCCATCTCTAGCATTCCGATGCGCGGCGGATAGTCCGCAGCGCCTCGCAGCAGCAGGGCGAGGGGTGCGTGGGGACTGGCCAGGGCGTCAGGGGGCCCCCTGGGACCTAGGCGGGGTGGCCTTGAGCAGTCCCATAGGGCCCCCCCGGACGGATTCAATATGCACCCACAAGTCCCCGAGAGGCCCCAAGAATGCCCAGGGGTGTGCCAGGAATGCTTCAAGATAGCCCCCAAAGGGCCTCATGAGGGCCTCAACACAGAACAGGCCAGTGGTCTCGTGCTTTCTCAGGAGGGAGGCCCCTTTCCCTTCCGGTGATGGCCAGTTCTATCACGCCCCAGAAGCAATTCTGCGTAACATATGCCCACGTTCAGAAGATAAAACGCAGTAGTCGAAGCTTGATCATCAGGTTTCGGCGTTCGGCTCGAGCTCGTGTTTTCTCCACTGTTTCTTACCCAGTGCCCTCGAGGTCACCTTGCATTGCCCAACATCCAAGGTCCAAGGCATGCGCCGACGATGCCTCCCGAGGTAGCCCTACCAGCCAGGCAGCCTGCGGACGGCGGTTCTGCTTGCACAGAAACGGTGGCGCGAGACCCAACATTCCCATCTTCGTGCGCCGGTACCGCAATACACACCTGCTTTGCTGAATAAGCTGCCGTTCTTGTCTGCCTGCTACAGTGACGGGTAGGGAGCAGGGGTGGACCTAACGGTGTTTTGGCAACTTCTTGGGCCGTTTTCGTTTCGATTTCGTTTTGCGGGAAAGGCGGATTGAGGACAAAGCGAGGGAAAACGAACACAAAACGACAACGAGAAGCACCGTGTAGGTTCAGCCCTGGTAGGGAGCGAGGAAGGGGAGGTGACAATCGAGCGAGGGGTGCCCCACCAGCACTGCCTTTCGCTCAGCAAGCGAAGAACGGTATAAAACAAACTTTTTCGCCGTCGGGGACACCTGCCCCTGGGCGGCTGGAAAGTTTATACCCCTACGGACCTGGCTGCGACAGGCCCAGGCCGTGGCCCAGGCGCGCCGATGGCAATCATGTGTGGCCGCTCCGGCAGCCGAGCCTGTGCCGGTTCTGTCAGGAGGGGAAGAAACACACAGACATAATTAACCGTCGACTTCCCAGAAAATATTGGAAAATATGGGAAGTGGTGGGGAAGACAAAAACCAGAAAACATGGGGAAATATGGGGACTTTTTATTTGTGTGTATTTGTTTGTGTGTCCTGGGGCCCCTTCATTCTACCGTTTCCGCACGCGTCGTGCTGGTTCGCCTCGCTCGATCTGCCTATTTGTCGAGGCGGGCGCTGGGAGCGCTCGTCAGCGCGTGTGCAGCCAGGCGCGGTGTCGAGCAGGTCTGTGTCCAGGGGCGGGCAGGGATGGTGTAAAACGACGCGAAGATAGGGACAAAATCGGATCGGGATAACTCGAAATCTCTGAGAATCGGCGGGTTTGGAGGATGTATTGGGCGCCGCGGCCGCTCCAGAGCGTTCCGGAGGGCTCTGAGAGCGCTCCGGAACGCTCTGGAGCCATTTATCCCGATCCTAGCCCTGTTTTATGGTGCTTGAGTGGGAGCTGCTGGCATGCAGAGGATGTTACGCCGTGCTGCGTTGCGCTGCCATCTCGCTGATCCTGGCTACGCGTCCTTGCTTTGGAAAGTGTGGCGGTGTCCCGAGGATGACAAGATACACGCCGTCTTCAACATCTTCGACGAGAACGGAGATGGCTTCATATCAATGGATGCACCTCCTCCGGTACGAGCTCTTCCTTATCCTTTCAATGAAACGTGTTCCCCACAACGACAGATAATTTGAGGGAGCACGAGGGTGAGGATTTGAGCCCGTACGAACAGGTCAGATTTCGACATTTCCTGACGTTGCGCGCGGCCGTTTTTGTTTGTGTAGCAATCATCGGCAGGATCTGTGCGAATCTCTGGGGGGAAGAAGTGGCGAATTCCATGTATGACCATAGCCTTTTTCCTGGAGTCTTTTCTGGACTGTTCTTGCGGGTGCAGGAGATGTTCAAGTTCCTGACCTCTGTCTTTAAGGCCCCCGCCGCCATGGGCGGGTGAGCTGTCGCTTTGGTGCAGAGGGGAAAAGTTTGTAGCGAAAGAGTAACGCAGTCACACTTACCCATGAGGATCTTACCAGGTACGGGGTGCCGCTAGAGCGTGATTAATAGCGGTCGACGGTTCCAAGTCTCTAGAAATCCTCCATGGACCTTTCAAGCTCACGTCCTGGAGTCGCTTGGGGCTTAACGCAATTTGCACAACGATACTCTCGCCTGAGCGCTGGCCACATGCCGCCACCCGGTTACACGATTCGCTTCAGGCGTTTCCATTTCTTACCGGCGTGACCCCGGGTGGACTTCATCGAGCCGGGTCCAGATTGGTTTGGGCTGGCACAGCGAAACTTACGTGTGATGCAATCGCCTGAGTGCCAACTGGTTGAGTGTTCCCCACCACCAGGACGCAGGAATCGACTGGAACTGTTCCAAAACCTATGCACGCACGAACGATCGATCCCTTGCATGTATGTGTTCTTGTCGTTCCCCCCCGTCTCTCCACCTCTTTCGTTGGAGCCTGGTACTTCGAGTTCTGGGCACCCTCGAGTGTCGCATATGTGTGCCTATCTGTCGCTGTTGCAGTCGGCCTCGCAGGGAGGGATATCCGCTGAAGATGTCAGGGCGAACATCAGCGACGGAGTCGAGCCTTTTATCGACGAACACTTTGAGCATCCGTGTTTTACGGGAGCGGTCGCCTTTTTTGTCGTTGTTCTTGCCAGGCGGCGCCCAGCGTGGTCCAGGCAGGTCTCTTTCCCCGCCTCCCTGTCCGGCTGCTCGCGAGGTTGTGCTGACGCCGAACGTCATGGGCGTGCCCGCCCACCGCCTGGCTTTTGGCAGAATGTGGACGGAGGAGGAGCCAGAGGAGGGGGGAGGGAGTATGACGATGGCCAGGAGCAGGAGCCCGGGCAGGTGCAGGGACACGAGCAGCAGCAGCACCAGCAGCAGGGGTCGGGGCTGACCCTTGCTGCTTGCAAGCAACTTGCCAGCACACCGTCAGGTATCGTCAGAGCATATGTGTCCGTTTGGGCTGGAGCTTGCGAGCGAACGTTTTAGTTTGTCTCAGGAGCCCCTGGAGTATTCGAGGCAGCATTGGCAGCAGCGCGCGATCTGTTACACATGCATTGCTGGCTTCTGCTATGATTTATTATCACGCTGCATGGCGAATGGCTACACCACAGTAGTACAACATGTTAACAAGCCGTGCATATCGATACATCTATCTGGAGCGTACGGATGTAGCAAACGGATACGTGGTTGCATGTTTTGCGCATGCACACATCTACGTTAACACACACACATACACACACGCATACGTATATGCAGCTATCAACATCTCTTTTGATAGTTGTATATATGTATTCGCGCATTCACGCACACATGCATACATATATACATACGTGCATGCATACATACATACACCCGCACATACGTACATACGTATATACACATACGCGCATACATGCATACACACATGCATACATGCATGCACGCATGCATGCACACATACATGCATACATACGTACATGCATACACATACACACATACATACATACGCGCACACATACACACATACATGCACATACAAATACACATACACATACACATACATACACACATACACACATACAGGCACACATACACACGCACATGCATACACACAGACACACTCACACATACATACACATACAACAACTAACATACATACACGCATACACACAGACACACATTCATCCATGTATGCATACATACATACATGCATGCACACATACATGCATACATACATAAACACATGCAACCACACACATCCATACACACATACATACATCCATACATACATGCATGCATGCAGGCATTGCTACATACGTACGTTCGTACATACAGACATCGACACGTACACACATACATACACATAAATACATGCATGCATGCATACATGTATGCATGCATGCATACACACATAGGTACAGACGTACACACATACAATTCATACACATACATCTATGCAAACACATTTTTATACATGTCTATATATACATAGATATATATGTGTATATATATATAGGCCACCACGCCACCGACAGTAGTGCTTGGAACTTGTCAAGAATGCGTGGCGAGGTCTTCTTGATGTAGGCCGCAATCTCTGGGTCGGGGCGCTTGTTGCACCCTCCCTTGCACTCTTTGTGCTCAGTCGGGTCCGCAAAATATTTGCATGCGGGCCAGTCGTGTGAGTCATCCAACGTTTCATCTGCCATAACCTCAGCCGGGCTTGCCACCTCAGCCTTGGCAGCGGGCGCCGCCGCTGGCCGGGCCTCTGGGGGCTGGCGTCCTTGCCGATTCTCCGCCGGAGCGTCATCCGCGTGCCTCCAGGGGCAGTTGCGGATCCCGCACTTCCCTTTGCCTGGACCTTTGCGGTTTTCGTGTCCCTCTCTCTCTCCAACAGGTGTCGTCTCGCGCCTTGTTGCCGGCGTATCCTTGTCCTCTCGGGCCGACGTCTCGGAAGCTGCTGGGTCGGTTGGAGGCGCCCGTCGGTCGCTCTTTTGGCGCTCGTGGCCTCCGGTCCGCCGAGCGGTGCATCTTCTCGCGGCTGTCCCTCATGATTCCGAACGCGGTCGAGTTCGCCGTGCCTTCGTCTGCGTTGTGCCAGATCTCACGCAGTGGGTCACGCGTCCCAGCATTTTTGGTAACTCCATCGTGTATCGGGTATAGCCAGGACCCCGAGTAAGGGGAACCGGTTAGTGGTAGGCCCTGCAGCCCCTTAAATTGGCGATTCTAAACCGGGTCTGCCGTAGCTAGTGTTTTTTCGGGTGACGGCAGTTCTGGTTAGTGGAACGGGGTGGGGGGGCGTCCCCCAGTACACATCACTAAAACAGGTCCCACTAAACCCAGTTCTGCCAACGCCCGACTGTAGGGCGGAGGTTGGGGACCTGCTCGGCAGCGCCACTCACCAGCATACCTTCGCTTTGGGGGCACAGATAATTCACGCAGTCCTCGTCCACTTCTCTGGCCGACTCGGTCCACATACCACCTGCTGTGAAGGACTGGCAGTTCCCGGAGGGACTGTCATGGCTTATCGCCTGGCTGTCTCGAGTAACCCTCTCGATCTCACACGCGACCGTGTGGGCCTCCTGCCAGGTCTTCGGCGTCCTGTTCTCAGTTCCTCCGTCCTTCTTCGGGTAGTTCCGCTTTTCCAATCGGATCGCAGCACGGTTTTTCTTTCTGATCTGCATGACGTAGTCCACGACGTTTTCGTCCTCGGTACGTACCCGGTATGCTCTTCGCATGTTGCGGTGATGTTTTCCCTTCGGGCTTCAAAGTCCAGGCAGCGATCACTGGGCAATTTCTCAAGGTTTTTCCACTCCGTACGCACCCTGATCTGCTTCTCGCCTGGGGTCTCCGTGAACTGCAGAAGCCGCCCTCGGATCTTCTCATACATATCCTCTCCGAACTCCTCAGACAACTGCCCGTCGCCCTTGGCATCCTGGATGATGTTGTCGTAGACCATCTTTCGGTTGCCTGGCAGGCAGTTCCAAACGGTCATAGCCGTCTCGTACGGCTTCATCATGCTTCTGGCGATATTCGCCATGCTGCAGAGACCCTCGAAGTTTTTCATGAAGTCTTCAGCATCCTGCGGGCTCCTTCGCTTATCGCCCAAAGCTGGGCAGTTCATCTTTGGCTCGACCATGACAGTGGAGTTCATCCCTGGCCAAGAGACCGGAGTCGGTCCCTGGGACCTCAAAGTCTCGACGACCCTGTCGACTCCGCCCGTGGTGGATTGCTGCTGAGCGCTCCTCGCTGCAACCGGCGCCCTTGCCCTCCTCCCCCTCCCCGACTCTTCGGACGCTGGTGCTGGCCCTGACGGCTCGGCCAGGGCTCTCGGCAAGCGCTGGCTTCTCCCTGGCGTCGGGCCTCCACTTGTTGAGGCACTCAGGGCTCGACCCGCCCGCGATCGGCGGCCTCGACGGTTGGGAGCCTGTCGGAGGCGCTCCCTGCTGGGCCGACTGGTCCAGGCTCCGGGCATCGTTCCGAGCCCATGCCGCCGTCCCGAGCGCGCTCTTCCGCACATCCCCTCGGGTCTTGCCGTGCTGGGGTCCGCGTCGTCAGGAGCCTCGGAGCTCCTCGAGGCTCTTTGGCCGGCATCCTCGCAGGAGCGCCCAGCGGCTTCGGAGGGCACCAACTATACACCAACACCGAGCCTGGCCCAGGATCACCCTGGGCCCAGGATCGGTGTATATGCCTTCTTGCCCAAGGCAGGAGGGCGTATACACCGATCCTGGCCCCAGGGTGATCCTGGGCCAGGATCGGTGTTGGTGTATAGTTGGTGCCTTCCTATCTTTGGCCGGCATCCTCGCAGGAGCGCCCAGCGGCTGTCGTCCTGCTCCGTCCACCGCTGGACCCGCCCCACCGCTGCAGGGGTCCACGCCCCCTGCGGCGGGTCGGCGGGTCGCGCCTGGGGTCGGCCGTCGCCCGCGCCTGTGCTCCTCGGTCTGCCTCCGCCTCGGCGGCCAGCGCCTGCCCGATCGCCGACGGTCGAGCCGCCGTTCTTGGAGTGGACCCCTCCCGCCTGGCATCGGGTGGCCCGTGTGTCATGGGCCTGTTTTTCACCACCACCACCATAAGTTGGAGGGGGGAAGGAGGTAGAGGATGAGGAGTAGGACGAGGAGGAGGAGGAGGAGGAGGAGGAGGACCCCCTCCCCCTCCCACTTATGGTAGTGGTGGTGGAGGACGCCCTCCCTCAGCGAGCGAAGAACGGTATAAAATAAACTTTTTCGCTGTCGGGGGCGCCTGTCCCTGGGCGGCTGAGGACAGCAGAGCCCTTTCAAGGGACCTGGGCGGGGGGGCCCCCGAGCGGTCGGGCGGCTCTTTTGGCCCCAAGATGGCTTCAAGAGCGCGTCAGAGAGCCCAAGATGAGCTCCAAGATGGCTCAAGATAGTGTAAGATCGTTCGAGATGGCTCTTCAGATGGTTCCAACAGGCCCAAAGACGGCCCCAATACGGCTCCAAGTGGCCAAAGAGCTCCCCAAGGAGGCCCCGAAGAGGCCAAAGTCCTTCTCCGTCCTCCTCGATCCTGGATCCTCCTCGATCCTGGACCCCCCTTCCTCGATCCTCCTCGATCCTCGCTCTCCTCCGCTCCTTCGCCCCCCCCCCCGCCTCTCCCTCTCCCGTCGGGGGCGGCCAAGAGGGGGGTCCTAGGGGCCTTTTGGGCCCTCGGAAGCTTTTGGGGTCCTCGCCGGACCACTTGGGGGCCTCTAACGGCCTCCTGTGGGCCTTTTGGGGGGAACGCTCTGCTGTTGGGTCGCGTTCCCCTTCTTGGGCCTCTCTTGGGGCTCTTGGGGCCCTCTCGGGCCGTCTTGGGCGCCTCAAGCACCGTCTTGGGGCCCTCTTGAAGGCCTCTTCCTCTATATTGGAGCGGCATTGGAAGCCTCTTGGGCCGTCTTGGAGCATCGGGATGCCAAAAGGCAGAAAAAATTAAAACCCGTCAAAGCCCAATCGTAAAGCAATGAGCTGTGCCTCTTGGGGCCACCTTGGGAGATCTCTTGGAACCTCGTCGGCCCTCTTGAAAGTTTCTTGGGGGCCTCTTGGATAGGCCGGGGGGGTGCCGGGCTGGTCCCTGTGCCCCCCCATGGGCGCCCCCGGGGTTTTTGGGGGGCCCCAGAGCTCCCGAGACGGCCCGGGCCCGCCCCGAAACGGGCCACGACAGGCTAATGGGGGTCACAGAAGGGCCCAAGACGGTCCCAAGAGGCCCCGAAAACGCCCAAGATGCTTTCAAGACGGCCGACGAACGCCCTCCGTAGCCTTTTGCCTCAATCCATTGTGGTTGAAGGCGGCGGCTTTGGACAGGAAGACAATCTGATTGCTATATCCAACTTGTGGTGCAGTGCTCGGGTGATCGTGCCCGTTTTGAACGTTGCTTTGCTGTGGGTTGTTAGTAGCCTGTATGTTCGTTCTAGAAACCCCAATTGCGCCGCTCTCAACCTGCAACGCCCAGATATCTCGCGGCGTATGAAAGGGGATGCATTACCGTGGACGCCTACAACTACAACTGGTTTGATGAGATTCTCGGAGTCTGTTGGTTCAAATGCACATGCGTTCTCTTTCAGCGACAAGGGCGCCTTCTGTTTTGAGGGCCAATGCTCGTCGACCCACAGTCGCGACACGCATGAGTTCCCCAACTTTTTCCTTGGCGTCGGACCTGGGGGATCTGGGAGTACCAACCTCGCTCGCGAATTCAACGCTCATCCAAGTGTTTTTGTGGGCGACGCACACCTAAATTCGCAGAAATGCTGCAGCAGCGAACTTTACGTGCTGAACAACCAGTCAAGGGCCTTTGAAGGGCAGGGAGCGTACGCGGCTTTCTTTTCCCAGGACGCGATGGCGAAGCGAAGAACCCACTGGTTCGGGGAGAAAACTCCCCTTTACTCGGCTCACCGGCTGGTCCCCTTCCGTGCGAGGGCTATTTTTGGCCCATGGCTCAAACTGTTTATCACGTGGCGTGAGCCGGCCGAGATTTTCATATCACGGTATTTCGGCCATGTTCGCAGTCAGAAAATACGCAACAAGACATTCACTGAGTGGACGAACGCCTGGCTGAACGGTTTCCGTCGCGTGACAAAGTGCCGACATGACATTTTGCTCACCTTCGAGTTGACGGAACGCATGATCTACGATCCGAGCTTCCCCCTTCCTGCGACGGCCGCCATGGAAGAGCACCTTGTCAGACTGTGTGGCCTGCTGGCGAATGGTGCATATGCAGCCTTGGAAGGGTTGGGTATGTTCCGCCGTTGGGCTCACGTGTTTGATCACCAGCAGATTCTGTGCGTCCTTCTGGAGGACCAAAGCGCTAGAATGGATTGGGTGCGTGATCGGATGGCGCAGCATCTCAACATTGATCGACACGGGTTCGAGAACAGTTCTAGAAAGCAGAAGGGAGTCAGTTCGTTTGACAGGCTCGAGACGCACCAGCGTGAGACGTATGGCGAGCAGGCGGTGAAGCAAATGTGGGGCACCATCGCGGAGATACAGAACATTCCTCGTTCGAGTTCGTTCACCGAAGACCAGCGCTTGTTTTCTGAATTGTGCAGTCAGTGATTGCGCTTTCCTTCCGCCCGTGCTCATGGGCAACTCTTTCTCGGGCATGGGGGGTGGTATACCCGAGCTCGAGAAGTGTAGAGCTCCGTCCACGGACGGCGGGTGGGTCGAGGGGCCATCCGCTGGGACTGGCCGCAGCCTTCTCCTGCGGCAGGCATCAGGCCTCCGGCAGGCAGCGTGCAGGAACAACAAAAAAAGACGGCCGACGAGCGCGCTCCAGGACGGCCTCAAGAGGCTCCCCAAGAGGGCCCTAGGAGGCAACATTCGTACGTTGTCCGATGGTTTTTGAAGGATTTTGGCGTTCTCGCTTTTCCCGCTGCCCAGCGTTCCCTCGCGGCATCGGCGGCCCTTCAGATCGCTCGAAGACGGACCGCGAGACCCCGAAGAGGGCCTCCAGACGGCCCAGGAGGCTCCCCAGACAACCCAAGTGTGCCTCAAGAGCGCCCCAAGACGGCGCCCAGAGGGGGACCGCGAACCGATTTTTCGAGGCCTTTGGCCCTAGAGAGCCCCAGTAGGCCCCAGAGGCCAGCAAGGGGCTCCTAAGAAATCCCGCGAGGCCCCCAAGAGGCCCCCAGGAAACCCTAAGAGGCCCCCACGGGGCTTCCAGGGAACGCCCAAGAGGCCCTCCAACGCAACCCAACAAATCGAGGGCGGTGTTGACAAGGACCGGGCGGGTAAAGCAAACCCCGGGTCCGGGCCGCCCCTCGTTGATTTATCCCAGCGGTGCCTGTATAAACCGGATGATAATTCATGATTTTGGCTTCTTCGGGCCTGCCCGGAGTACCTCTTGAAGGCTTCTTGGGCCGTCTTGGGTGGTGGTCTTGGGCCGTCTGAAGGGCCAAAGCGCTAGAATGGTTTGGGTGCGTGATCGGATGGCGCAGCATCTCAACATTGATCGACACGGGTTCAAGAACAGTTCTAGAAAGCAGAAAGGAGTCAGTTCGTTTGACAGGCTCGAGACGCACCAGCGTGAGACGTATGGCGAGCAGGCGGTGAAGCAAATGTGGGCGCGCTTCGCGCGCGCTCAGGTTCTAGCCCAGGCCGGGGGGCGCGCTCTAGAAGATCTTGGACAGCGCTATCAAGCACATGCGCGTGACAAAGTCGTGCCTCCTGAGGGCCTCTTGGGAACCTCTTGGGTCTTCGTGGGGGCATCTGAAGGGCTTCTGGGGGGTTCTCCGTGCTTCCTCAATTGGCTGTTGGAGGCACCTCTTGGGCGCTTCTCGGGGGGGCATCTTGGGGCTTCTTGGGGTCCCTTGCGGGCATCGTCAGGGTTCTCCGGGTAGTCGGAAAGTGATGTTCTGAAGTCTGACGCAGTCAATTGGCCGTCTTGGCTGCGTGGAGGCCCGGCTTGAGGCCACATTGGGGCAATCCGGAAGCCTCCGGGGCCCTCCTTATTTTGATGCATCGAGAGCACTGTTCGGCTATCTTGGGGCCCCGTGTACGTCTCCTGTGAGCCTTTTGGAGCCTGCTTGGGGGCTTGGGGGGGCCTCGTCGGACCACTTGGGGATTCTTGGGGCCTCCTGTGGGCCTCTTAGGGCGGGGAACTCTGCTGTTGGGTTCGCGTTCCCCGTCTTGGGGCTCTCTTGGGGCCCTCTTGGGGCCCTCTCGGGCCGTCTTGGGCGCCTCGGGCACCGTATTGGGGCCCTCGTGGGCCGTCTTGGGGCCCTCTTGGAGGCCTCTTCGGCTATCTTGGAGCGGTCTTGGGGGCCACTTGGGCCGTCTTGGAGCGTCGGGATGCCAAAAGGCTGGGAACTCTAAAATCGATCAAAAAGCCGATGGGAAAACATTGCTTCATGGAACCTCTTCGGCTTTGGGGAGCTTCTTGAGGGCCTCTTGGGTCCCATATAGGGGCCTCTGGGGCTTCCTGAGAGCCTCTCGGGGTGGAAGGCTCGGATGTTCGGTTCGTCTTACCCCTCTTGGGTCCCCCTTGGGGCTGTATTGGTGCCCTCTCGGGCTGTCTTGGGCCCTGCTGGAGGCCTCTTGGGCTATCTTGGATTGGTCTTGGAGGCTATTTGGGCCGTCTTGGAGCGTCAGGACGCCAAAAGGCTGAAAACTCTAACATCAATCAAAAACCTACGGCAAGACATGGATGTTTGCCTCTTCGGGCCCGAACTCCCGCCTGGCATCGGGTGGCTCGTGCGGTCTCGTGGCGCCCACGTCGCAGAGCGGACTGCCGTCGGAGATCCCTGGGGTGGGCCCCGATTATCCTGGAGAGTCTCGTTCCGGATGTCGAGGTGAATTTCGCGCGGATCTCTTTGGCCAGGCATGAAGGCGGAAGCTCGAACATATACATTGCCAGTGGCGGGCTGTTTTTGAGTCCCAGAACTTTTTGAGGGTCGGGGACGACGTCGGAGTGGTGTGGTGTATACTATTTTCCCAGTTTTCCCGTGGAAACAACGAAACAGGTATACACCAGGATCCCGTATACACCAGGATCCGCTTTTTTGTGCGAATCTCAGTGCGGGGTCGTAGAAAACGTCGGTGTATAGAGTCCGGTCCCTTATGAAGACTAAACAAAAATCCGCGCGAAATCCGCTCTTCGTGCTGCACTCGCCGTGTCGGGGCTCTGACTCGACGGACCTCCGCGCCAAAATCCGCGGCAGCACGTCTGCAAGGTCGATGCAGTGAGTGGTCTGGAGGCGCCCTTGGGCAGCTTCTCGGCGCCGTTATACTGCCGAGGCTCAACGAAGGCGGGCCCCCGTGCGGGAGCGCCACCCTTCCGCGCGGGGAAGGCCCCTTGGCGGCCTGCCAGGCGGTCGGCCTCCGAGGCGTCGTGGGCTCTGCCCCGGCACCTGCCTCGCCGCCTGGGGGGGGGGGGCGGCAGCGCGGAGCATGGCCTCGCTCAAACTCCGCCGTGCAGCGAATGTCACCGAGCGCGATCCACTACTACTCGCAAAGTGCCTGCTCGCAAACGTCCGAAAAAGCGTGTCTTCCTGTGTGAAACGTATAGTGAGCCTCCCGCGGCGGATCCAGGCCACTTGCAAGCAGTTACTCTGCCATTGGTGGAGCGCGCTTTTCTAGAAAGGTGGTCGCGGAGGGCCCTCCGGCTCCTCCGTTCGGCTCTTCAGCGTCCACTGCTTCATTGACCGCCGTCGGCGATTCGCGACGCGTCGTCTGGTCCGACTCGTCCTGGATCCGCATCACGCAGGATTCCATCAGGGCGTCCGCCATCGCGGCGCTGTCGCGGTTCAGTCCTGTGAAAGAACAGATCCTCATCAGGATCGTCTTCTTCGTGCGAGCGACCCCGACGAATTCGTCGGTGAAGGTGTCGGGAAACACCAGCGCTCCTACAGAGCTCCTTCGAGCTTCGTCTCGAGCTCCCCGATCTGATCCGAAGATTCCAGCAGACGATTGGCTCTGCTCAGTACCGTGCTCTGTCCATGGGCCGTCCTGCCGGATCCGCTGGTCCCTGTCGCGCCCATGACCTCCGAGCTAACCAGCTGCCTGGCATCATTTTGCGCCTTCAGTGTCGCGACCTTCCGTTCCGCTGCGCGTTCTTCATCCGTTTCCCGCCTCTCGGCGGCTTCCTTCTCTTCTTTCCGAAGGTCCCTGACCCAGTCTCATCCGTAGAGGGTCGTCATCGCGAGCTTGTGCAGCTTGGCCTCCTTCTTCTGGGCCACTGGGCCCGCGGCAACGCGCCGTCGTCGCGTCTCCACTGCAAGCAGCCTTTCCAATCCATCCTCGCCGGTTCCCGCATGAATCTTTCACGACCCGTTCCGAAGAACGACAGATCTTCGAATTCATCAATCATCCTCTTCGCATCGTCATCTTCGAAATGCCTTGCTCGTGCTTCTGGAGCGCCCGGCGGCGGCTCCAGTCTCTTCGCTCCCCTCTTATCCTGGGTCTGTCTTTCATGTGGGTCCTCCCGTCCCTCGCTCTTCAGCCCTTCCGTCTTCCAGTGCGTGTCCTGCGTCTTCAGGTTCAACGTCGTCGCACTTTCCTGCGCCCGCCTTCTGCTGGGTTTGGCCCGCGGCCCTCGCCCCTTGGCCCTCTGGCTGTGCGCCCTTCGTCGTCAGTTCGTCCAGCTTCCGCAGATTCTTCACCAGATGCTCCTCGAGCTGATTCGGGCTGCTTGGAAGGTCCCTTCCGACGGGCTGAAGCCTCGTCGTTGTCGGGGAGCTCGGAGTCATTAGTCACCCCCGTGCCATTCTTTCCCATTGTTGCTGCTGTCGGTTACCTGTCTTTACTCACAGATGTCACTTTCCAGAGATTCGTCAATCACGTGGGTCGTCGAGGATGATGTCAATCAAATTAGCTTCGCGGAATTTCCTGGAGCAGCCCCCCCAGCTGAATCAGATCAAGTGGTCTTCTCAAACAAATCCTTACTTCTGGTCTCTAAGGCCGAAACCTTCCCTTCTAGGGCGAGACTTGCGGCTTCGCCCAGGTAAGGGGTAGATTCCCCAGGTTATATCGCAATATATCTCGACGCTAACGAGATCAACGATAAGAAGATCAATGGCAATATGATGCAGGTGTTTTGTCTGCCGACAGTCGGGCAGACTGCCGTAAATCCAACAGTTCAATATTCAGGGGGTCGCTCAAGGCCCTCCGACCTTGATCCCAAGTCCAGCGGTCGTAGTCATACGATAGCGACCTCATACATCATTGCTCAAGTAAAGAGGGGTGCTTGAGGAAGGAACACATCAGCAGTTTCAAGGCCGTCTTGGGGGCCTCTCTGAACCGACTTGCGGCCCTCTTGCGGCGTTCCAGGGCCGTCTTGGAGGCCATCTTGGGCGTCTTGGAGGCCTCTTTCTCCGTCATGGGGCCCTCTTTGAGGCCCTCTTGGGAACCTCTTGGGCCGTCATGGTGCCATCTTGGAGACCTCCTGGGCGATCTTCGGCCGATCTTGACGATCTGTTGGGTCGTCTCCGGCCGTGGGAGGGCCGAACGAACACAATTGCCAACATCCTTCAAAACCCCCAGTCACATCGATGAATTTGGCCTCTTCGGGCCTTCCTGGAGGACTTCTTGGAGGCCTCTTGCGCCGTTTTGGAGGCCCTTGAACCATCTTGGAGCCATATGTTTGCCGTCTTGGTAGCCTCTTGGGCGGACTTGGAGGCATCTAAGACCCTTTGAGACCGTCATGAAGGCCATCTTGGATCATCTTGGGCGGACTTGAAAACCATCTTGGCCATCTTGGAGGCCATCCAAGCCGTCATGGAAGCGTTTTTGGTGCAGCGACGTGGCCTTTCGGATGTCCCGCGCGCTCGGCCGAAACCCCAGGGTTCTTTTGGATAAGAACCAAAACCAAGCCGTCAACACTTTAGCACGCCAGGTACCCCTGTGATAAATCAACAGGGGGCGGCGGATTTAGCGGCCTTCTGTCCATCCTGCCACCTTGCCCACCTCGTAGGTCAAAGGTCTCTTCGACGCTTGTGTGGACCTCTTGGGAGGCCTCTCAGAAGCCCCTTGGAGGCGGCTTCCGGGGTGTCTTGGGGCCATTCGGGGGCCTCTTGGCCTCCTGGGGCCTGGTGTGGGCCTCTTGGGTGCCTCCTGGGCTTGGGGGGGGGCCCTCGGGTGCCTGCTGGCAGTCTTGAGGGTTCTCTTGGGGCGGAGGGCTCGAAATGGCCGTTTGTGCTCCCCCCTCTTGGGCCCCTCTTGGGGCCCTCTTGGGCCGCTCTGGGAAGCCCCTTGGGGCGATATTGGGGGACTCTTGAGCCGACTTGGAGCGTCGGGAATCCGAAAAGGCGAAGACGCTCAATTCGGTCAAGAGACACAGGAAAGTTGATAATGATTTGGGCCTCTTGGGGCCCTCTTGGGAAGGATCTTGGGGCTCTCTTGGGACATCTTGAGTGCCCCTTGGGCTGTCGTGGGGCCATCTTGGGCATCTGGAAGCGCTCTTGGGCGGACCCAGGGCCCTCTTGGACAGTTTTCTATGCCCCTTTGGGCCCGCTTGGCCTGTTTTGGGCCCCCCCTTGGCCCGAAGAAGTCATGTGGGGACACGCCCCGGCACGCGGGAAAAAAACTTGGCACGCGGGAAGCCCTGGGAAATGTATGAATTTGGCGTCCAGGCCCAGTATTTTTCAACCATCAGGACTGACGACGGAGCCCAACGGACCTGAGGATGTTCCAACTCGTGCCCCTTCGGGCGGGCACCCCAGTGGCAGACCGCTTTGATAAAAGCGCTGGCAGGCGTGATGAACTCCATGGGTGTGACTGTGGATTCGCCAGAGGAGGGGTTGTTGAAACCTTGCAGCATCATGTCTGCCCCGCGATGGTCATTCTACATGCTCTCTCTTTCTCTCGCTGTCTCTTTTTTCTCCCCCTATCTCTCTCTCTCTCTCTCTCCCCCCTCTCTCTCTTTCTTTCCTGCTTCAGCGCCTTCTTCTCTTCCTCGCCCTCCTCTTTCTCCCTCTTCCTTTCCCTCCCCCATTCGCGTCGTCAAGGCATTTCTGGCATCCCTTCCCCCCTTCTTTGGATTGCTTTTGTTGGTACCGCTCATCATCTTTCGCTTTTGGTCACGTGCCTTTTCTTTCACGTTACCTCCTCCTTACCTCCCTTGATCATCGAAGACGTCTAGGGCGAGTCACCGCAACCCCCTGCCTTTCCGGCAACGCCTGGAAACCCATGATAGCCCAGGGAGGTCCAGGCAGGCACCGACCCCCACTCGACCACTTTGAACGAAACCATTTGCTACTTGCTTGCCGTGCTAGGGTAATTGTATACAGCCCTGGGGAGCCATCAAGAGATCGGTTTGTCAGAGACTGCACGTCCTGTCATGCATTTCTGCCTCCCCTGATTGTGCGAAGGAGGAATTGACCAACGTCCCTATCTAGATTCCATAGCAATACGGTGTCGGTATGTAAAGCAGTAATTGCTTGTTCCCCCCTATCCCTCTACGTTTCCAACGAAGGGCGTCTCAGCAGAGCTCATACCAGCCGTATGCGTTGTCACTTCACGGCACGCTCGCAGGATCTGGCCTCGGTCACCGCGTTGGAGTGCTTCAAGACTGCGGACCTGAACCACGATGGGAGCGCCCCCCCTCCGCATCGTGGCCTTTACACTGCACAGTTGTCCTGGCCGTCGAATGTACTACGCTGCCGCAGCTGAGCTAGTCTTCGGTTCGTGACTGGGGCTCGGTCACGTGCCGACGGCACGACTGGCGTGCGCAGATCATATTTAGCATCGTCCGCAGGTGTTGCTGGTGTCGGCGACGATCGATACCACCACTGTCCGTGGTAATGCCATACGGTTTGGGACGCCTCTGGCTGTCTGGGGCCTCTCCTGGAGAGTGCCTTGGGGCTCCGCTGGGAGGCTCTTGCAGGCAGGCCTTCTGGGATCGCCTGGGACCTCCTGGAGTCTTTCGACGGCTGCCTGCGCCCCTTGGCAGTCTTTGGGGACAGACTCGGAGGACATAGGTCCGAGGCGGGAATTTGTCCCTATCCACCGCCTGGAGGGTCAGATTTTTCGGAGCCTCGGCAGGCGGTGGACATGGACATGTTCGGGCCCCTGGGGGCTGAAACGTATCCACATCCACCGCCCGCTGGGGTACTAGGGCGTCGGTTCCCAGGCAGTGGATGTGGATAAGTCCCCGCCACGCAATCGGGGCCTTTCGGATCGGGTTCAGCTTTTGGGGGGCTCACGTGACACACCCGAATAACCCAAGAACGCCCAGGAGCGCCCGAGAGTTCTGGGGAACGTGGGGTCCAGGCCCTTACGCATCATGCAATCACATTGACACATTCATGTGTATGAGCTTTGGGGTACTCCACTTCTTACTGAAGTTACGATGGCGGACAATGCCGTTTGATAATGGGGTTTCCACCCGTCGCCGTATCGGCCTGAGGGATGCGTGGGAATCGGGTTGGGGGTGGAGGGTGGGGAGGGGGCCCAGGGAGAATTCATCCTTAAACCCTCTTTGTGGATTGCCACCTCAGAGTGCTTCCCCTCGTGCTCCCCTACGAACGCTCTATGTATCATCTTGGCCTCGCCGTCAGCATCCAGGAATCGTACGTAGACCTACAGCAGATAGTGATTCGACGTCCGCATTTGTTGCAGATACCAGCTGGCAAGAAGTGGAGGAAAGGGAGCATTCCGACGACATGTTTCAAACACTAGTCCAAGAGCGTGCCGTTGTGCCGTTCCGTGATAGTTTATACTCCATTTCATACCGAAACAGCGTAGGCCAATGGCTAACAGGATAGAGCAAAAATACTTGGCGTGCGTTTTAGATTCATCTAGCTGCGTAGGGCAAGTCTTGCCACCTTCTTAGCGCAGCATCGAAACGCATGCAGGAAGATTCATCCGAGCTCTCCCGAACAGGCTGAGTTCAATCATTACGGTGCCTGGCAGGCACCTGGGACTCTTGGGCCGTCTTGGGCGCTCTTGTTACATAGAGAACCCTTCGGCAGAACCATTTTTGTACCGTTTGGGAAGCAGCTGTATGATGTCTTAGCGTGGTGTGCAAACAGCGTTGCATGGCCGTCGCCTCTCTGGAGGAGGGGGAGGAGGGGGAGGAGGGGCGGAGGAGGAGGAGGAGGAGGAGGTGCTGGTTGCAGACCACACCCTCTGACCTGCACGGCCCGTGAGGCCGCTCCCGCGGAGGCCTCCCTCCCAGGAGGCGGCCCTCGCCGACTGGACCCAAGGACACCAAGGGCTTTCTTATCCTCAAAAAAAAAAAGGAGGCTGCTTGTGGCAGCTTCTTCGGTCTTTCTTGGGGACCTCGTCCTCAGGGGACCGCGGACAGGCGTGGCGGCCCCCTGGGCCATCTTGGGCCGCTGCGGCTTCTTGCGCCCCTCTGGGGCCACTGCTGGCACCCTTGGCCCTGTGAGGCCTTCTCGAAGCCATCTGAGGCCGAAAACTTGAGAGACAGCAGTTCAGAGCCCCGAATCATCAGGGGTAACTCGGGTCAGGGCTAACTCGGGTTCGTTTTTTGGGATTCCGAACCCGATTTATCCTGGACCCGAGTTACCCCGGATAATTCGGGCGTCTGGAGCCCGAAAATCATCAGGGGTAACTCGGGTCCAGGGCTAACTCGGGTTCGTTTTTCGGGAACCCAAACCCGAGTTACCCCGGACCCGAGTTACCCCGGATAATTCGGGCGTCCAAGCAGTTCTGAAACACCCGAGGAGGTCCATTTGCCTGGGCGTCCCAGAGCACTGCTGGAGAGCTCCTTGGAAGCCTCTATGGGGCTTCGTGGAGTATGTCATGGTTTCTCGGGTACATCTTGGGGCATCTGGGGCGTCTTTTGGCTGACTTGTGGCGTATTGGAGCAGTCTGATGCCGTTTTGGGGCCTTCTTGAGGCCGCTGTGTGCTCCAGAAAGGAAGCTGTAACGGGACATCGCGCTGCCATGGGTGTTCGCCCTTGATAAACTACAGAAGCCCTACCAGACAGCTACGAGGCGTTCCAACGTCCCGACGTGTCGTCTGCTCTGCGGCGGATTTCACATGATGCTCGCGCATTTTGGTACTGGAATCAAAGCGAAACGTTTGTGTGTATTTTCTGAGCTCCTCTCGCGGCTGTCGATTCTGCGCGTACAGGAAGTTGTCGGTGGTGGAGTTCAAGAATTGGTTCTACGCTCCAAGGATTTCGCGGTGGAGCGCTGTCTGTGCCCTTGCCCATCCCCGCAGGTTCATCGCCGCAAATCCGAGGGCATTCTTGATCATCCATTCTTCACCGCTTGGGAGTGGCGAGTCCAGTCCTAGTGGAGCTAAGCCAAGGGCAGGAGGGCTCGGTGCGCCCGGGAGTGGGTGTTCCCCCGAGGTTGGAGGGCGGTGGGTCTGGGCGGGGCCTGTCACGGGGTGGGGCTGGGGCCTGTCACGGGCGTTATCGCGCATGATAAACGGCTCGTTCTTCTGGAAGTTTCGCCGCCTTCTAAGGAGGTGCCCCCCCCGTGAGCTACTTCCTTCGGCGGGCAGTCAGCCATCGTGGGTGGTCGAGGGACCCGTGGCCCTGCAGAACATGCCTCCGGGCCACCGGTGCGGCGAGCGGGGCGGGGGACCTGCGGAGAGGCTGTGGACTGCCCGCTCGGCATTTTAACTGTAGGTGCCTTGGCCTGGTCTTGTCTGCATGGCGTCGAGCCTGTCTTCACTTGAGCACGGTGCCAGTCCAGGCATGAGCTGACCCAGGTATGGGCTCGACACTGTCACAAGGTGGTCGTCGGCTGGTGGTGCTGTGCTATCATCGCCCGCTCGACCGCCTCTGAACTCAATTTGGCAGGTGCGGAAGTACGGCCTCCTGTATCGAACGCTTACTCTTTGAACGCTGGAGACAGGAGGTGGACAGTGATCTGTCTTGGGTCTCGTATTGGAGCGTTGCCTCCAATATTTGAGCGCACGCTTGCACAGCTACAGCGTTCATGCCGGACGAGCACACACGATGTCCATTGCCCAGCTCAGTGCTGTTCATTTTTCCTTTTACGTTTCCTCCTTTCTGGTCTGAACGTGGTGTTCTTCAGTGCTGCAGATTCTGTGTGTTGTTTGCTCTATGTTGTAATTGAACAATCACTATGGAACAACAAATTATTGTTGACTCCCCCTCCGCATTGTTTTTTTGCAATTGAATATTTTTTTTCTCCAGGCTCGCACCTTGTTTTTTTTTTTTTTAATCAGGGAAGGTCACGGGGCTCAAACAGGGCCCCTGGCCCCCAGTTTACAACAACAACAACAACAACGGCTCCTGCCTGATCGCGCTCTCTTGCTGGACTTTCTCACAATTCGTGTACGCATCGCGCCCTCGCGTGGGACTTCTTCGCAATGTATTCCGACGATGCGCCCTCGGCACTCAGGAATCACGCTCTCGCTTTGGCTTTTCTCACGGTTTACTTGGGAATCGCGCTATCGCTCGAGATTTCCTCGCGATGCATGCAGGACCCACGCTTCAGGAACCCGCCTGCTCGACCTGGCCGCCTGGGCCCGCCTTCCCGACCTGCCCGCTATGGGTCTGCCCACCCGGTCTGCCCGTCTGGTTCTACCATTTGTTTTCTGCTCCTTGCCCCCCTCCTGCTGATTTCTCTCGTTCCATTCTTCTCCCTCCCCCTTCCGCCCGTCCTCTCTTCACTTGTTTTAAGGGATGCACTGAATGCACGTGGCAGGTAAGGAAAATATACCCCCAGGGGGGTACGATCGAAGACGACGAGGGCGGGTACCGAGGGTTTGGGATATACGTGTTGATTGGCACGTGAGCAGATAGGAGCGAGCAGTCTTAAAATGCTTGTTGCTGTTGTTGTGTTTGTTGTTGTTCTTGATGTTGTTGTTTTTGTTGTTGTTGCTGTTGTTGTTGCTGCTGCTGTTGCTGTTGAACATTATTACTTCTAAAGAATAATTATTGTTGGGACCCCTGGTACACGACCCCCCTCCAAAACCTAGGCCGCAGCTACATTTTCATCATTTTTTCGCGAAAGCTTCAGAAAAGTGGATTAGTACCGGATCCGGTTGTTTTGTTCCCCCCCGTTTTCCCTTGCAAAAAACACTATAAAATGAAATTTCTTGTTCAAATGTAATCCAATTTCAAGAATCCCTTGCAAAAAATAAGCTAAAGTGGACATTCGCGCGTGCAAGACGAAATCCTTCCAAAACCTTAGGTTTCGGAACGATTTCAACATAAAAACATCAAAAACCCAATGGTTTTTTAAATAAAAAATTGTCAAAATCTCATCCCGCGCGCTCTTGCGGATTCGTAGGAAAACCAACACTTTTTAAACATTTCTGTCAAACGGGCTTTTGCGAGCAACTTTTTCGAACTTCTGCGACAACGGTTGCGCACCTGCCAGGGCCATCATCCCTGTCAAATAATACCATGCGGGACACATTCGTTTTTTCTTCGCGCGCGCACGCCGTCGTCGTCGGCCGCGGGGCCCTGAATAGTAGCCACGGTCGTCCGCATGCCACGAAGTGAAGTGTCCGAACGTCATAGGGCGGGAAGCTGGGTGTGGGTGGTGGCGAAGAGTCGTTTGGAAATTTGGTAGAGCTTGAACCGGCCCCCCCACAAAGTGGGGGTATTGCCCGCCTCCTATGAAAACCCTGGCACTGGTGAGAACGGAGTGTCCCCACGTGCTAGTAATTGTTGTTGTTGTTGTTGTTGTTGTTGTTGTTGTTGTTGTTGTTGTTGTTGTTGTTGTTGTTGTTGTTGTTGTTGTTGTTGTTGTTGTCGTCGTCGTCGTCGTCGTCGTCGTCGTCGTCGTCGTTGTTGTTGTTGTTGTTGTTGTTGTTGTTGTTGTTGTTGTTGTTGTTGTTGTTGTTGTTGTTGTTAAGGGTGAACAGTTTTAAACTGACTGTTGTTGTTGTTGTTGGATGTTAATTGCTACACAATTATTGTTGTTGGACCCCCTCAGGCGCTTTCACGCTGTTGCCTCGGCGCGGGCTACACATCCATTGAAAGTAAGGCTTACGCTCGAGCGATTTGGGGGGGCGCCAAAACCGGCCCCCCAACAACAACAACGCTCCTGCTCGAGACTTCCTCCTTTTTTGCTCATGGCCGGTGCTCTTGCTCGCCGCCGAACGCCGCCGTCCCCGCGCTACCGTTCGAGACTTCCTCCTGTTTTACCTTGGACTGGCGCGCTACTCTTTCTCTCATCGGCGCCGCCCCCAGCAACAACAACGCTCCCGCTCGAGACTTCGTTCCCCTTTTACTCAAGGCGGTGCTCTTGCTCGCCGCCGAAACCGCCGTCCCGACAAAACCAGCGCTCCCGCCCGAGACTTCCTCCCGCTTTACGCTGGATACTCTGTTTTGAACTGCCGCCGCTCCCAGCAAGAACAACGCTCCCGCTCGAGGCTTCCTCACGGTTTCCTCAGGACGGTGCTGTTCCTCGCCGCCGACGGCCACCGTCCCGACAAAACCACGGCTCCCGGTCGAGGCTTCCTCCCTTCTTACTCAAGGCGGTGTTCCTCCCCGCCGCCGACAACCGCCGTCCCAACAAAACCAGCGTTCCCGCTTGAGATTTCGTTTTGTTTTACGCTGGACTAGCGCCCTACTCTCTTCAGCATTGGCGCCGCTTCCAGCAAGAACGACGCTCCCGCTCGAGGCTTCCTCCTTTTCTATTCAGGGCTAGGTCCTTGCCTCGCCGCCGACAGCCCACATCCCCACCAAGGCAATCCTGTCGCTCGATACTTCCTTGTGCTTTAGCCTTGGCTTGGGCTCCACTGGCGGTCTCGCATCGGCGCGGCAAGTCGAGGCGGGATATGTTGAAGTTCCTCGGAGGAGGTGTTTGCAAGACCTCATTGGGCGGGAGATCTGGGAATGGGAATAACGGACCCCGACCCCGCCATAGAACAATCATCCCCCATGATGGGGATGATTATCGTGATGATCGCATGCTTCGTGTGGAAACTTCGCGCATGAGGGTAAAATGATGATGATGATGCTGATGATGCTGATGATGATGATGATGATGATAGTTGTAGTTGTTCCTGCTGTTGTTGTTGTTGTTGAACATTATTTATTCTAAAGAATAATTATTGTTGGGCCCCCTGGTGCGCGCCCCCCCTGCGCCGCCTAGGCCGCAGCTACATTTTCATCATTTTCGTGAGGAAGCCTCAGAAAAGAGGGTGTGTACAGGATCCGGTTGTTTTGTTGTAATCCGCTTTCCCTTGCAAAAAACAATAGAAAATGACATTTCTTGTTCTAATATAATCAAATTTCAAGAATCCCTTGCAAAAAATAAGGTAAAGTGGACATTCGCGCGCGCAAGACGAAATCCTTCCAAAACCTTAGTGTTCGCAGCGATTTTAACATAAAAACATCAAAAAACCAATGGTTTTTCAACAAAAAAATTGTCAAAATCTCATCCCGCGCGCTCTTGCGGATTCGTAGGAAACCCAACACTTTTTAAACATTTCTGTCAAACGGGCTTTTGCGAGCAACTTTTTCGAACTTCTGCGACAACGGTTGCGCACCTGCCAGGGCCATCATCCCTGTCAAATAATACCATGCGGGACACATTCGTTTTTTCTTCGCGCGCGCCGCCGAAATCCCCTCTCCTTCTCTCTTCTTCTCCTTTTCCTCCTCCTCCTCCTCCTCCTCCGGCGGGGGGCGTGAGGATCCGGCATCGCTCACAACCATCGGGACAACCATCGGGACAACCATCGGAACAACCATCGGGACAACCATCGGGACAATCATCGGGACAGTCATCGGGACAACGATCGGGACAAGCACAACCATCAGGACAACCATCGGGACAATCATCGGGACAACGATCGGGACAACCACAACCATCAGGACAACCATCGGGACAACCATCGAGACAACCATCGGGACAACCATATCCTCTCTCTCTTGTGTATTCCCACATCCCTCAGGAATTTGCCCTAAAGATGTGATCAACTATCTTGTGAGTACGTATCATGTGTATCATGTGTATCATGTACCATATGCATCATATGCAACAGATGTTCTGTGGAAGGCTTAACAACTTCTGTGGGTTAACAAGGCTTAACAACTTCTGTGGGTGTACGAACGTAGGCTTAACAACTTCTGTGGGTGTGTACTCCACGCCAGTGTAGTAGCCACGGTCGTCCGCAGGCCACGAAGTGAAGTGTCCGAACGTCATAGGGCGGGAAGCTGGGTGTGGGTGGTGGCGAAGAGT